AACCCCCCCCCCCCACCCCCCCCCCCAAAACCCACAAACACAAATCTCTACTCTAATAATTGTGTTTGGATTGCCGTTTGAGTTCAAACGGGCATTTCCCACTTTCCCATGCAGAAAATGTAGAAGCAACACTGGACTATCTTTGGGGAAACATCCATTGACATTTGGTTAAACCTTTTAACCAACACACAGTAAGCATGCTGTGTAGTTAAAAGAGAAACAGCAAAAGATTCTTAATAATCCGAAGTTTATCATCAGATACTAGCAACTAATATGTGCATCCCCAATAAAACATCACATTCATTCCCATGAATATTCACATTTAAAGGCTATTCACATTATTCATTAACAACAGTATCTAGCCATAACAAAAATAATCTACTAGGAGGTGTTTGTTTCATAGATTACAAGTTTATTCCGATGAAGCGTATTCCCATGAATATTTTAATTAGAATGTAATTCCCAAGCATATTTAGAAAATGTGTTTGGTTGCGTCCTAATATTCCTTGGAATATTTTTTAAATTGGAAATCAACAACAACAACAACCAAGCCTTAATCCCACTAGGTGGGGTCGGCTATATGGATCAAACGACGCCATAGGGATCTATCATAAATCATCTCTCTTGATAAGGCATTGATCTCCATGTCCTTTAGCACTGTTTCCCCTATAGTTTTCCGAGGCCTCCCTCTCCTTCTAGCTCCAACAGTAACCTCCATCTCATTGGAAATCATTTAAATAAAAAAAAAAGGGAAGTTACAAGTGTGTTGAAACATAACTTCCCAAATTCCCATGGGAATATCATTTTCCCACCCCCTCAACATGGGAATAAAAATGTAGAAAAATGGAAGGCAAGCTTTCCCAGGAATGAATAATAACCAGCAATGATTTTTCAAAACTTGTAACAAACAGGAATGTTATATCCCTATGCTTACATTCCCAGGAATGAACTTGTAATCCATGAAACAAACACCTCCCTACATGAAAAGTAATTTCAAAATCTTGCCTAGCATATTTCAATCACAGAATAGACATAATCAACAAGTCAATTGTCCAAATCAGATACTGCTGAGAATATGCAATATTCAAAAAAGAAGGATTAGGAATTTAGGATAGTCAGTTTAAGATTGAATTGGATAAACCTGTCGTAAGAGAAATGATAAGACCACCTTTCAACTTGATTTCCCAATTTCAGGGACCAATGTCATTTTAGAACAAAATAACATGATAAGATTCACAGAATTAAATACATAGAAGTTTGTTTTTTAAGAAGACAAAGAACATGAATAAATCCCCAAACACTAAGGCCTGTCGTATAATATGACTAAGTCTAATGTTGAACCAAATCAATCAATAATTTAAAAATAACCATTCAAATCAGACAGAATAATTTTTTCATCAATTATAATCAGCATTTTGAATTCAATAAATCTTGCTTTTTTTTTATCAATCTGATGTTTGATTACTTGATCAGTAAAAGAATACATTTGTGGATGCAAGAACTTAATGAACAGCACAATTTTGCACAATTGTACTGGAAAGATATTATGAATATATGGTCTGCAACATGATAACTAATCTATAAAATTCAGAAGTCGTACAATGTAGAGGAAATTGAGCTCATTTTCACAACACCTAATTTAATACACAAATCATCTTTAGTATAAAGTAACCCAGCCATCATATTACTTGTACACAAATCAAAAGGCAATACACACATAAAATTCTGCGTCTTCAAAAGCACTGCTGTGTGAAGCCAAACCAGAAAGCCTAACAGATACACATTCAGCCATAGTTTTAAAACACTGCAATACTGGCCTAAAGAAATGAAATTGCACAGTACAACAACGAACTGGAACATACCATGGCTACACCGAACACATGCACCACACTTCATTTTGCAAACACTGCACACTAATTTCTTCCGGGTTTCCTTGATTCGTCCCACATTCATAACAGGTTCCATGTTCTTCAAATCATCTATATAAACCTCAGGCATCCACAGAGAGCAAAACAAGTGCACAAACGGGACAGACCTGGCACCTTCCACGCTGCTAGTAACTGGTTTCAATGCACCACCCTTCTTTGGACAAAGAACACAAGGATTCGTCGACTCATCAACATCACCCTTTTGCTTGCACCAGGAGCATAGCCAAGACTCGTCTACATCTTCTTGCACACCATAGCACTTCCTGTGCACTGCCACTTTACAAGAAGTGCATACAATTAACCTATTGGAATCTCTCCCAATGTCTCCCCTGCCGCAATAATGGCAAAATGGTTGGCTATCATCACAAGGACAAGTCATCATAACTTTTTCCAAACCAGCTTCGCCCCCAAAAAGCCTCCTTTTCTTGGTAGGGCGCTCAGAAGTTAAAGAAATTTTATTCCTGCAACCTAAAAACCACTCTAAACTAATAGAGGAATCAGAAATATCCTGACTCTTGTCATTCTGTGGACAAGCTTGTTCAACAGCAACAGGGTCAATTGCCTCAATAACGAACAATTCGTCCTCATTTCCCACAGCTTCACCGCCCTTCTTTTCATCCTCCCTACTAACTAAGCCATCCTTTTTTCCATCCTCACTAGTAACTAAGCCGTCCTTCTTTTCATCCACACTACTAACTACATTGAATTTTGGAACAGGATCCATATCATTCTCACTAGTAGTAGTAACTGCATTGTACCTCGGAGCATTTCCCAATAGCGGAATGGAGAAACAGTCCTGAGACGCTAAACTAGAAGTGCAAGAGGCCTCAAACAAGGTGTCGATATCAGCCAAAGTCAAGTCCCTAAAGTATTCCTCCGTTTCAATCCAAATGTTAGAAGTCTCTGCCTTCTTCTGGTTTGCCCTAGAGGAAGATTTTCTCTTATCCCCAGCAGAATGAGCCTTCTTGGGACGCCTCCGGTTATCAGTGTGACGGTTCAGAAAACTAG